TAGAAGCACAATAAACTAGCATTTGTAATTTGGCTGAGCGCTGTCCCTGCACTATAAAGTATCACTTATAAATATTAATGATTACATAAAGAGTAGCTTAGAGCCTTTTATAGTAAAATAGTCTGAAAATTATGTTTGTTGTGCTGCTGAGAGGTTGAAGGCGTAGGTCGTTTGGAATCTTAATAAGCTAGTTTCGAATCCATCTCAAGATTTTTAAGTTCTTGTGTAGTGCGAGTGTTCGAATTTCACAGAAATTAGATGCGAGGGTGTCTTTGAAAATTAATTCGATGTTTGTTTGTTTGTTTCTTTTGCGCTTCCCAACCCCGCCATCTGGAGTTCACAGCGAAAGGTACTGTATTTACCAATCTGTATTTAATAAATATTCCGATACTTTAATTCCTTAATTTGTTCTCCGAATATTGTACTGTCAACTAATTTATCACTTTCGCCGAATATTATCTTAGCAACACATTTATTAATTTGTGGAATTTTGTATTGGTTACTTAATAATTTCTTCGCTGAATATTTTTTTAGGAAAAAATTATGCTTTTCAATTCAAAATTACATTACTAATTGATTTATTTCCATTTTTCAGTTGACTAATGTATTGGCAACTGATATAATACCATTTCAGTCGAATATTATATGAACAATTATATACGTTTCGGCCTCTCTAAGCATCCTTCTCCATCCCTCCTCGCTCTCAGAAATATGAACACGTGCCTCGAATATTAAACAGCTGCGGAGAGGCCCGGTCACAAGATTCCTCATACAAGTACAATCAGCTGTGGCATTGTTTATCTCTGGGTCCTCCCGTCGGTTCGTCAAGTCTGTGATTAACTTCGATACTGTGGACTTCGTTTGTTTTTGGATCGCTTCGGGAAGTTTGTGAAGTTCTTCGCCTCCATTGTGTTACTCGATAAGCATCTCAGGACCATTTGGGGGCTTCCTGTCTGTCTGTCTGTCTGTCTCTTTCTTTCTTTTACTTTTTCTCATCCTTTCTCTCTCTCTCTCTCTCTCTCTCTCTCTCTCTCTCTCTCTCTCTCTCTCTCTCTCTCTCTCTCTCTCTCTCTCCTCTCTCTCTCTCTCTCTCTCTCTCTTTCACTCACTCTCTCTCTCTCTCTCTCTCTCTCTCTCTCTCTCTCTCACTCTTTCGTTTACTTTCTCTCTCTCTCTCACTCTACTCTCTCTCTCTCTTCTCTCTCTCTCTCTCTCTCTCTCTCTCTCTCTCTCTCTCTCTCTCTCTCTCTCTCTCTCTCTCTCTATCTATCTATCTATATCTCTCTCTCTCACTCTTCGTCTCTCTCTCTCTCTCTCTCTCTCTCTCTCTCTCTCTCTCTCTCTCTCTCTCTCTCTCTCTCTCTCTCTCTCTCTCTCTCTCTCTCTCTCTCTCTCTTTCTCACACTCACTTTCTCTCTCTTTCTCACACAAAAGAAAATATTTTTGGCTCTGGGTTCTCTGCTCACCTTAGATAGTGCAGATAGATAGTGTTGCTAAAGTTCTCTCATCCTCTCTCTCTCTCTCTCTCTCTCTCTCTCTCTCTCTCTCTCTCTCTCTCTCTCTCTCTCTCTCTCTCTCTCTCTCTCTCTCTCTCTCTCTCTCTTTCTCTCTCTCTGTCTCTCTCTTTCCTCTCTCCTCTCTCTCTCTCTCTCTCTCTCTCTCTCTCTCTCTCTCTCTCTCTTCTCCCCCCCTCCCCCTCTCTCTCACTCACTTTCTCTCTCTTTCTCACACAAAAGAAAATATTTTTGACTCTGGGTTCTCTGCTCACCTTAGATAGTGCAGATAGATAGTGTTGCTAAAGCCTCCGTGTCTTGTGTACGCTTTGGGAATCATGAGTGGAGTGTCGACGGCGTTGTGTATGCAGAGGTCGAACGGAGAGAAGGTCGATGTCCATTCTTAGATTTTTCATTGCCTCTCTGGTTTAGCGGTTATCTCTTGCTCTTTGATTCTCTTGATGTCTGTTTCTCTTTGTCTTGCTTGTTTTTTTTTTATTTTTATTTTGCATCTTTCTCTGTCTCTGTCTCTTTATGTCTCTTTATGTCTCTTATGTCTCTCTCTCTCTCTCTCTCTCTCTCTCTCTCTCTCTCTCTCTCTCTCTCTCTCTCTCTCTCTCTCTCTCTCTCTCTCTCTCTCTCCTTCTCTCTCCTCCCTCTCCCTCTCCCTCTCCTCTCCCTCTTCCTCCCTCCCTCCCTCTCTCCTCTCCCTCCTCTCCCTTTCCCTCTCCCTTCCCTCTCCCCCTCCCCTCTCTCCCTCCCTCCCTCCTTTATGCAATTTTCACTTCGTCTTTCCATATAACTTATATATATATATAATAGCGAAACCACTGCATTGAGAAGGTCCCTCTCAACCGACTCAGCTGATTCAGCCGCCACGCTCCAGCCTGCTCAGTATGCTAGTTCCTCTCCGTCCTGTATATGGGACGAACTTGGCAACCAGATTCCTTTCTGTTTGTTTACGTAAATACACCTCCTATGACGCGTTGATATCTCCTCACAGTGTCTTTGGGTGTTTGTGTTTCCCTTTCGTTCTGACTCTCTGTCTGTCTGTTTGTTTATTCGTCTGTCTATCTGCAGAAAGGGAAAGGAGCAGTGAGAGAGAGAGAGTAAGAGAGAGAGAGAGAGGAGAGAGAGAAGAGAAGAGAGAGAGAGAGAGAGAGAGAGAGAGAGAGAGAGATAGAAAGAGAGAGAGAGAGAAAGAGAGAATTTGAATGCCGGAAGACAAGAATTCCCCCCCCCCTCCACAGACACACACAAATAATAATGACAATAATAATAATAACAATGATTACAGATAAAATCACACAGCCAGATAACAAAAGAGATGGAAAGGGAGAGAGAAGAAAACATAAATGAAAGTTACTCCATAGAATTAGCATGCAGACCCTCCTTCCTTCGTCCCAAGAGCCAATATATATATATATATTTTTTTTACTTTCCAAATTAAATTAAATTAGTTATTTCAAAATATCCTGAGAATATATATTTTTTTCTTAATTTTTGGTCACCTTGCTCTCCTACCCTCCGGGCCAATATTTTTATTTTTACTTTCCAAACTAAATTGCACCAAAATAGGACTAGTTATATAATTCAAAATATCCCTAGAATAGTTTTTTTTTTCTTAATTTTTGGTCACTTTGCTCTCCTACCCATCGGGCCAATATATATATTTTTTACTTTCCAAATTAAAATGCACCAATATAGGACTAGTTATACCTTTCAAAATATCCCAAGAATAGTTTTTTTTTCTTTTTTTTTCTTTTTGGTTGCGTTGCTCTCCTACCCTCCCATACCCCCCTCCACCCCAACGTGACGCCTTCATTTTTATATGTATAATAAAATCGTGAATATTCCCCTTTTCAAAAAGGTAACTTGAAGAATAAATAGAAAAGTTGTGAATAAATCAACCCATTTATGAATCAAAAGGAAGAATGTAATGAATGAATAAATGAAAGACTATTTTGGTTTTGATTATCGTATATTGAAAAAAATATTTCATTTTATGTCTTGGATATCACCATATATTATTCTTTCTGTCGCAATATGTTACGTTCTTCATCGTCTCTCACTTATAAAATCTTACGTCCAACTTTTTTTTTAATGTAGTAGTCACAAGAACGTCTTAGTAATACGTTGCTTTTGATATTCGCATGTGGTTCCTCCGTGACTTTCTCATGTCGCTTTTTCCGGGTTCTGATACCGTCTTTTCCGGGTTCTGGTATCGCTTTTCTTTTCGGGTTCCGATATCGCTTTTTCTGGGTTCTGATATTGTTTTTTTTTCGGGTTCTAATGTTGCCTTTTTCCGGGTTCTGTTATCGTTTCTTTCCGGGTTCTGATATCATTTTTTCCGGGTTTTGATATCGTTTTTCTTTTCGGGTTCTAATGTTGCCTTTTTTCCGGGTTCTGTTATCGCTTTTTTCTGGGTTCTGATATCGTTTTTTCCGGGCTCTAATATTGTTTTTTTTCCGGGTTCTGATATTGCTTTTTTCCGGGTTCTGATATCGTTTTTTCCGGGTTCTAATATTGCCTTTTTTCCGGGTTCTGTTATCGTTTTTTCCGGGTTCTGATATCATTTTTTCCGGGTTTTGATATCGCTTTTTTCCGGGTTCTAATATTGCCTTTTTCCGGGTTCTGATATCGCTTTTTTCCGGGTTCTGATACAGTTTCTTTCCGGGTTTTGATATCGCTTTTCCTTTCGGGTTCTGATATCGCTTTTTCTGTTCTAATATTGTTTTTTTCCGGGTTCTAATGCCTTTTTTCCGGGTTCTGTTATCGCTTTTTTCCGGGTTCTAATATCGTTTTTTCCGGGTTCTAATATCGCTTTTTCCCGGGTTCTGGTATAGTTTTTCTTTAGGTGAACACTGGGATCAACAGCGTCACAGCCGATAAGAAACCACACACAGTATCACACTGGATAAGTATCACATGGACAAAGGTAAACATACAGTTTGCCAGACTTTAAAAGACCTTAGCGGACTTAGCTAGACCTTGTCAAAGCCAGACAGGACTTAGTAGGTGTTGCTAGACCTAGATCTTCGACAGGCTCTAGCGCACGAGGGAAGACCTTGACAGGCCCTGGCAGACCTTAGTAGAGGTTGGCAGCCGACAATAGACCTTGCGAGACCTTATCAAATGCCGTCAAGCTTTAGTATACGTCGACAGGAGATGGGAAAAGAGACCTTGCCAAGACTGTCAGGCTATGGACGTCCACTGTAAGGTCCTCCCTCCTCCTCCTCCCCCTCTTCCTCTTCCTCTTCCCTCCTCTCTTCTCCTCTCCCTCCTCCTCTCCCCCTCTTTCTCCTCTTCCTCCTCTTTCTCCTCCTCCTCCCCCTCTTTCTCTCCTCCTCTCTTCTCTTCCTCCTCTTCCTCCCCCCCTCTCTCCTCCTCCTTCCTCCTCTCTCCTCTCCTCCTCCTCCTCCCTCTTCCTCTTCCTCCTCCTCCTCCCTCCTCCTCCCCCTCTTTCTCCTCCTTCCTCCTCCTCCCCTCTTTCTCCTTCCTCCTCCTCCTCCTCCCCCTCTTTTCTCCTCCCCAGCTCTAACTCTCACACACTTTACTTTAAAGTCTTACATAACAGGGCCAGGCACGCAGCTGCCACGGGGACATCCTTGCATCCGTCCTTCGTCATGAAGATTTCCCGTTCAGTTCTGCTCGCAAGGACGCCGCTGCCCCGCCCGCCGGTCTGTTCAAAGCAGGACCTCGAGGACACACTTCGGACCAAGGGAGTCTGACTTCGAGCGCCTCAGAACCTCGACTTGAAGGAGATGTTCCTGTGAGGATGGAGCTCGTCGAGGAGGACCTGGATGTCGTAGCCGAAGATGAAGTAGTCGACCTCGTAGCGTCGGTACAGCTTCTCGAGGGTGGAGATGTCGAGAGTCGAGTAGTAGGACACCAGGAGGTCGTGGGTGCTGCCTCGGCCGTGGTGGGCGTTCTCCTCCAGGACCTGAAGGAGGGACGGGAAGAGATGGATAAAAAAGGGTTTGGAAGGTAATTGGGTTCGATTCGTCAAGCAAATTAAGAATAGAGAGAAAATAAGTAAATGTAGAAAAGGTATGAATGAAATATATACATTTCTGACGAAGATGTATTCGAAACCGGTCAAATACATCTCTTGTAGTGTGAAGATATTCATTCTCATTCATACCTTTTCTACATTTGTCAGCATGAATGCGGTTCAAGAATAAAGAAAGAAAGGCGCTTTCTCTAAAGGGATTACTGCAAAAAAAAGAAACGAATTTTCATCAACAGATTAAAAAGGAAAAGAAACTCATTATTGTAAAAAAAAAAAAAAAAAAAAAAAAAAAAACGAATTTTCATCAACAGATTAAAAAGGAGAAGAAACTTATTATTGTTTAAAAAGAAACGAATTTCATCAACAGATTAAAAAGGAGAAGAAACTCATTCAAAAGTGATTTTTTCGCAACCCCCGCCATCCGACAACCCAACCCCCCCAACCCCACCCCACCTACCACATATCCACCCACCCAATCACCTCCCCAACCCAGCCACCTACCACCCACCCACCCCCACCACCCACACCCAACCCACCCCACCCACCGTATTATCAATCTCCTTGGCCAGCCCCCCACCAACCCAACCCCCCAACCCCAACCCCCACCCTACCACCCACCCACCCCCACCACCCACAACATCTACTCCCCCAACCAGCCCCCACACTCCCCACACCTACCCACCCTCCACCCACCCTCCCACCCAACCATCTCCCACCCAACCCCCAACCCACCGTATTATCAAATCTCCTTGGCCAGCCCCCCTCCAACCCCCACCTCCCCACCCACCCTCACCCCCCCACCCCCACCCCACCACCCAACCCAACCCCCCAACCCACCGTATTATCAATCTCCTTGGCCAGCCCCGAATCCTCCAGGATGAACCGGATGTCCTGCGCCTGTGTCTCTGCCCTGCCGATGGCCTGGAAGGAGACGACGCAGGGGGCGCAGTGCTTCCAGTAAGGGTGCCAGTGGGGGTCGTAGTTCCCAATGGGCGTCACCAGCAGGTACTCCACGAACTCTCTGAAGGTCGGGATGACGGCGAGGCTCCCGTTCACGCGGATGTCGGCGTTCTGAGGGTGGAAGGAGGGGGGTGAGGGTGGGGGTGGGGTGGGTGGAAAGGTGGTGGGTGAGGGTGTGTGGGTGGGGGTGAGAGTGAGGTGAAGGTGGGTGTGGGGTGGGGTGGAGTGGGGTGGTGTGTGGGGGTGGGGGTGAGGGTGAGTGAGGGTGGGGTGGGGTGGGTGGAGTGAGGGTGGTGGGTGAGAGTGAGGGTGAGGGTGTGTTGGGTGTGGGGGTGGGGTGTGAGAGTGGGGGGGTGGAGTGTGTGTGGATGGTTGGAAGGAGTGAGGGTGTGGTGGGGATTGAGTAAGAGGGAAGTAAGATGGGGGTGGTGGTGGAGTGTGGGTGGGTGGATGGAGTGAGAGTGGAGTATGGGTGGGGGTGGGGTGAGAGTGGGGATGAGAGAGGGGATGGAGTGAGGGTGGGGGGGTGGGGTAAGGACAGAGTGGGGGTGGGGGAAGAGTGAGAGTGGGGTTGGTGAAATGTGGATGAAGTGAGGGTGGAATGTTGATATGAGGGTGTAGAAGTGAGGAAATGGTAATGTAGGGTGAAGTGAGAGCTTACACACTTGGATAAATCGACTAAAGAAAAGAGAGAGAAAAGAGAGAGAGGGAGAGGGAGAGGAGACAAGACAGACAGACAAAGAGACAGACAGAGAGAGAGAGAGAGACAGACAGACAGACAGAGAGAAACAGAAAGAGAAAGCGAGAAGGAGAGAAAAACAATAGAACAAAAAATAAGTAAAAAAAATCAATAAAACTAACAACCAAACAACCAAATCCAAACAAACCCAAAACACACACACATAAAACAACAATAACAATAATGAATAAATAAATAAATGAAATCAAAACAGCAACCGGCAACCCCATACCTTCAGATGGGGCCGCGTCACCTTGAGTATTTTAGGCACGTAGTTCTCCCTCTGCCACGAGCGGTGAGAGGTGTCTTCGATGCGGTCCCTGTACGCCGATAAGAGTCTTTCCAGAGGCTCTCGTACGATCAGGAACTTGTAGAAATCCATGGACTTCTTGAACTCTTTCATGGTCTTCACTGTCATGATCTTGCGCATGCTGGAAGGGAAGAATGGTTTAGGAACATTTTCTAGGCTAAAACTTTTCGAATAACAATATTTTTTTTCGAATTTTCTCTCTCTCTTTTTTTTTCTTTCGTCCAGACTGAAACATGTCAAAGATTTTTTTTTCGTAGAACACTTTTGTAAGACTTTTTTTTTTTCTTCTTTTTTGATCTTGTCGAAGAACATTTGCGATTTCTCGAACAATTTAGAAAATCTTTTTGAGACAAGAACTTAGAGAAGGAAAATTGAGGGACATTCCTAAATAATTTCAGAGCATTTCAAAAGCATAATCTTCCTGCAGCTGAACCTTTCAAAAATGTTTTGGAGACAGAATCTTCACAAACATTTTCCAAGCAGAACGTTTTCAGAAGAGGAACGTTTCAGAAGGGCTTTAAGAAGGAAATGTTCCCAGAAGTGTATTGGAACCTTCTAGAAGTATTTCAGGAACAGAATCTTTTAATAAGCAAACCACAAGAGAAGTTTTTTTAGGGGAAGAATCTTCTGGAAAGATTTCAAGAAGCAGAATCTTTCAGAAACGTTTTAGAAGATGCATGAGGAAGCTATTGTGCCCACAGATGGCTCAGATTTCGAAGGATGAAAAAGAAAGGAAGAGATGTAAAAGGAAAAAGAAAAAGAAAAACAAGAGGGAAGGGAAGGGAGAAAAGTCACGTGACAGAGACTTTAACTCAACCAATAACCACCAGATTTTTTTTTTTTTTTTTTTTTTTTTTTTGTCAACTACATCCTCGACTAGAAAACGTCTTTACAACGAACACGTAAAAAGAAAGAAAGATCAGACAACAACAAAAGAGAGAAGACGAAAAAAAAGACAGAACAAAATAAAGATTAAAAAGACCACATCCTGCAACTCACTCTGCATCATTGCCCAGTACGATGCAAGTTGCAAATGTCCTTCACTCAGTCAAAAAAAAAAATTTACAGTTAGGAGAAAAGTTGATCCTTTGTCGATTCGAAGTTGTTTTCATTAGCGACCAATTCTCATTTTGAACACGAAAATTTGGAATATTTCGTTTTTTTAGGGGGAGAAAGTTTATTAATCTAGGGATAATAATATATAATAAGTATTAATAAATAATAATATAATAATAATAATAATAATAATAATAATAATAAAAAGTCCAAAAAAAATATGTGAATTCGGTTAAAAAGTCACTATATAAGAGAAACAGAAAGAGAGAGGAAATAAACATATAAACTATACAATATAAACTATAATATATAAACTGAATATAAACTGTACATGAATTAAGGAAATAAACATATAAACCAAATGTATATTTATTTACGTATTTGGATGTATGTGTGCGTGTGTTCGCCCACGCCTGTGTTCATACCAGAATATATACAATATAAAAAAAAGCTTTGATCCCTAAAAAAACAAAATCCAACTAAAATACGCAGACGAAGGAATAATTCAAACCTAAAATCATATTTAAAACATACAAACAGATTTTAGAAGAAAAAAAAATCGAGTTGTGTTTCAAGTTTGAATTTATGTTCTTTGGCCAAAAAACTTCTCTGAAAAAGTACCATTCCTTTGAATAAACAATAAACCATTTGGAAAAAAAAACCAGCGGGTTATTGATATTATAAACCTTACATGAAGCACGTAGAGAGCGCATACCTCCGCCAAGGCAATAGGGTCACTGATGCAATAATAAAAATATTCACACTTAAAGAATTACATTAAAATCAACTCTTTCTTTGGCACACTAGTTTTGTCTGTATTTCTCGACCTCGCAATGCTAATGATTCTTTAAAAAAAAAAATCCTGGATCCGAAACATGATACGGTTCACCACCAAAATGTAATGGCATCTAAGTTGTGCTAAGCCTCTCATCTGGTGTTAATTTCATAAAAAAATAAAAATAATAAAAATAAATAAATAAATATTTAAAATCTGTTCATATTTTTTTTTTTTTTTTTTTTTTTTTTTTTTTTTTTTTGATATCCTGCTAACCAACAAACCAACGCTACCCAAAACCATAACCTCTTTGGCGGAGATAACAAAGCTTGCACGGCCAAGACGAGTAATTCGCGACGCCAAATCCACAAAATACACGATTTATTAAGCACGCAATGCAAATTTTCCAGTTTAGGACAAAAACACGACAAAAAAACTACAAGATCCGACCCAGTGAATATACACTTGCATTGATACAGAAATAAATGCATATCTGTCTATTTGGTAGATATATATTTATTTATCTGTACGGTAGATATGCATGTCTAGACACTTGTATATGTATATTTCTGTGTATGATGATGATCAAGATGATAAAGATAGTAATAATAATAATAATGATAATAATAATAATAATAATGAAATAATAATAATGATAATGGCATTAATAATAAGATAATGACAATAATAATAATAATAATAACAATAATAATGATAATAACAATACTACTACTACTAATAACAACAACAACAACAAACAACAACACAAACAACAACAACAAAAAACAACAACACAACAATAACACCTGGGTCGGGCCTCGCACAACAAAAACAACAACAACAACAACAACAATAACAACAACAAAACAACAACAACAACAACAACAAACAACAAAACAACAACAACAAACAACAAAACAAAACAACAACAAAACAAAACAAAACAAACAAAACAACAACAACAAAACAACAACAAAAACAAAACAACAACAACAACAACAATAAAACAAAACAAAACAACAAACAACAAACAAAACAAAACAAAACAAAACAACAACAAAACAAAACAAAACAAAACAAAACAAAACAAAAACGACGACAACTCACTCGTAGAAGGTTTCCTCTTGATGACGCTGGTCTGGTTGAGCAGGTAGGCGAACATGGCGTTCCAGGCCGTTGACCCGACCTTGTACTGCCAGCAGAAGGTCACGCGGTGTCGCTGAGGAACGAAAGGGAGGTTGAATAGAAAAGAAAAGGAAAAGAAAAGTGTTCTCTCTCTCTCTCTCTCTCCCTCTTTCCCTCTCCCACCCTCTCTCCCTCTTCCTACCCTCACTCTCCTTTTTCCCTCTCCTACCCTCTCCCCCTCCTTCTACCCTCCTCCATTCTTCCCCTCTCCCCTCCCTCCTACCCCTCCTACCTCTTCCTCCCCTCCCTCTCCTACCCTCTCCCTCCCTCCTCCCCTACCCCTCTCTCTCTCCCTCTCCCCCCCCCCCTCCGACTCACCTCATCAATCTGGAAATTCGAATTGA